CCTAAAGTTTGGGTTTAAAAAAAAAAAAAAAAAAAAAAAAAAACTAGGCTAAGCATACTTACGTTTCTATCAATACCATGCTTGTCCTGCAATGCCAGCCATGTTTTTCTGTGGTTCGGTTGGGCCATGGTTTTTGATGTGTACACTTTCACATAGTCTGCATACAAAGTTTTAGTCTAGTTGGAAAAATAATGAAATTCATACACTTAAAAATGTAAGTCTCAAAGTGCCATTTTACAATATTTACGATAATATTTTAATGGTTTTAAATCTACATCTGTGTGCATTCTAAACATGTATTTTTCACCTAACTGCAATAAAGTTTTGAAGCATTCCTTTAGAAAATTTGAACTCCATTTATATCATTGCAAAATGGAGGTCATGATGAGTGTATATATATATATATATATATATATATATATATATATATATATATATATATAAATGATGATGGAGTTCTCAAATAGTACTTTTTGCAAAATATGCCAATTTGGTTGCAAACAAGAGCACAATATTCTTTAAGTTACCTCCTTCCTTCAGTACCTGTGCTAATTAACAAGCCACTTACATCTTCTAGAATGTTCCTTTTCTTCTTCACTTCTTTTGTGTATTGCCTGTGGACCATTTCTCCAAGTTGAAGTTCAAACCAGGAAAGAGTGTAGTGTTTGTCCTCTATAATTGTCAAAAAGCTACGGATTTCCTAAAACGGCAATTTATTTGACAAATATAGGATGCAGGTGCAAAATAAAAGTAAACTGGGGGACATGCGTGCTGAAAGGCTGAAATGTGATGAGCAACAATTTGTGAGGAGTAAATAACTTTCTTCTAAGGAAAATTTTGTTTGGCATGAAAACCCAGCATGAGATACCATTAAAAAAGCAAAGTTCTAGTTTATATATATAAAAAAAAGGAGTCACACGACTAGATATGGGTCATGTGACAAAGTCCTGTGACCTACCTTCATTAAGAGCTCCACATATTGCTGATCAGACAACAGTGATAGAAATACAGCTATGTTTAGACTGTACACACTCTGTCCTGAGTATAAAAGATAAAAAAATTATTCTTGATAAAATGTTGACATTAATACACTTCATTCACTAAGGGACCATTCCCACCGATATTTGGATCAATCTATCTCCCTATCAAACTAACCGGCTTAAAGGTCTGTCACGCCTAGTAAAACTGTTAGGGGGTAATTATCTTTACCCCTAGCTGATTCAGTAGGCATGACAGACATTTAAGCCTCTTGAGCTGATAGCAATTTAGCATGAACCCCCAGGGAGTTAGGTTGTTCCAGATGGATCGATATAAGTACGGGAGCCCAGTCTGAGGGATAGAACAGAAAATTATGTCTAACAAAAATGAAAAAAAAAAAAAAAAGCACCTTTCCTCCTGTTTTTATGTTCACTTTTTAAAAATTGTTAACTTAAAAAATTGCTTTTCACTTAAAAGGAAGAAGTACAAATAGATAATATCACTTGGTCTTGATTTTATAATTTACAGATCTTATAAAAATGATCAATTGTTTCAAACAAATGCTAGGATTTCCTACAAATACTTACTTTTAAACCCTCGATTAAGCTCATCACGTCTTTCACCAATGGCTTTCAATAATACTTCCCTGAACTGCTTCTCTATCTCCTTCAATTTTGGTTTCTAAAACAATATTAAACAGGATTGATGTTATTCCTTTTTGTATTTATGTAACACAATGAATATCACAGTACCGTTAGATAAAGAGGACCTTGCCTAAGTGACTTCCAAAGGAGAATCCTAATGTTATTTATTATTATTTTTTTTTACTCTAGCATAAAACACGCAGGTATGTGTATAAATGGTGATTACTCGATCTTTCAATGGGGGGAATTGTGAATTTTACAAATGCTGTATATTTGAAGTCAAATTCTTATAATTAGAACACGGCTATTGAGTGGTAGCAACAAAATTAAGAAGCAGGCTACTCTATGGTTCTATTCTATGCAATAAAAGCACTGCAAATGCTATATAGAAATATAATTTTTTGTGATAATAAAATTATGTTTCTGAAAGTTTGGTCATTTTTGCCCACTGAAAAGTTGAATTATTACTAAGTAATTATATACAAAATATTCTAGAACACTGCACAGCCTTTTGCTTTCTACTCCAACTATGGTTTAGGCCCAATTAAGTGCTTGTCTACCCAATTATAAAGTCAAGTCTGGTTCTCACCTGCCACAGAAACCACACACAAAAATGAGAGAAAGGTAAATTAAAGTATGCTATGCTGGTTTCACATCATATAATTAAAAAAAATGTTGAGTTTAGTCTTTCAGAGAATTGCTATGTACTAACCAACAAGAACATGGTCTGGCCTTAATGAAAAATTACTCAAGGATAAAAAAAATGGCAGCCTACCGCCTTTTTATGTCCCTCTAGTTGCCCTGGTGTCAGTTGAAGAACACTGTCCACTTCAACAATTCCTTCTTCTTCTCTTTTTATCTGCTCCTCCAAAAGATTCATCAACTGTTCTGGAGTAACCTCTCCAGCATAGGGGTTGACATAGGACTAGGAGGAGGAACAAGACTGTCAGTCTTTCGCGCTTTTAGTAGGTCTACATTTATCAGTACAGAAACACTTAAGAATATTCCTTATATGTAATAATGCTACAGGACAGAAGGAAGGAGGGGAGCGTTAACTCACTTTCAAACGTTTGCTTTTGACTGTTTTGAGGAAGCAAATTCCAGTTAACTGTCCAATTGGTGACACTTTGACTGAATTCCCATTAACCTTTTGTACTAGCTGGATCTGCCTAACTCCGGGGGGGGGGGGGGGGGGGGGGGTTCTCACTAAGTTGCATTCAGTTTAAGCAACTTATAAATGTCTGTAAGGCCCAATGAAACTGCTAGGGGGTAATTAACTTTAGTGCATGCCTAAAATGAATGCAATTTAGCAAGAATCCCCTCAGAGATAGATCGATCCTGCTAGTACAATAGAGTTATGGGAATGGTCCCTTTTACATATCAGCCAGGCTAAGATGTACATCTTCAGAAGTACTTCGAAACAGATACAAAAAACATGCTGTGTGAAAAGGGAAAAGAAGCTTAAAAGGATTAAGGTACATTTAATTTTTGTGTAACAACTACACAATTGTGTCAGCAAAAATGCACATTCAATTCCATAACTTAGTGCATGAAATTCACCTTCATTACCTGTTTTTCACCATATTTCCTTGACAGATCCTCTAGAAGAACAGCACTGTAGTCTGATTCATCAGTGGGAGTGGGAGGCACATATTCATCACTCACAGTTCTTATTGCCTGTGTAAAGGAAATGTTGAATATAAACAAGTGGCCGTGAGTTTGAGAGAGAGAGAGAGTGAGTAAGAACAAGCCATCTCAGTGTGTTTCTCAAGTGTTATTGTTTTCCCCATGCCCTTTCACCCACTTACACAATTTTCAAGAAAAAAAATCCATATCATTCCGCTAAATAAAAAAGGCACAACCAACTTCGTTAATCAATGCAGGCTGACAATGGCAGTGGACAAAAAAATTTGAATGGATAACTCAGAAAGTTTGCATTCGCATTGAAATCCCTCTGCTTAGTCAACAGCCATTATCCAGGGTAACTTAAACCAAAGTTTCTTACTTTTAACATATAGTTCTTGCTCTCCTCTTTCAGTGTGCACTTCGTAAACATGCAATCGGGATTAATGCCCTACAAAACAAGAAGAATGTTCTTTGATGATACTGTGCTTTTATTAGCCAGACATAAGTTTTGTTTCAAACAAGTACCCATATGTTATTCAAATTATGCCAACAGTAAAGGAACAACAGAAAGAAAAAAAATGCACATTCACTGGCATTGTTAAAAAAATGTTATATATTATTTTTTAAAAAAATGGCCATGCACTTCTGTCCACATTAAGAATAACAGCCAAGTTCTCTGTCACTGTAAACAATTGACCATAGTGACACTTACTACCATCATACCTAACACAAATAATTTTTCCGACCAACACATTTAACTCATTTTGCTTTCCTTTATTTCAAAGCAGATTTTCGTCTCTTTTTATAATTCCTTAGAATCACTCAAGGCTCGTGGAAAAGCACACCTAACGCATTTATGAGCACAATCACACTCTTCACTGTCACACCAATCACAAATTTTTAGCATCAAAATTAACACACCTTGCTTTCCATTGTGGTTAGACAGATTTGAATCTCATCACGTCGGCCCTCAGCATCCCTGCCCAGACATTCTAGAAGAGCAGCGTAGGACTCCGCGTCTGGCTCCACCTCTGAATACCCTGCTTCCTCCATCATTTCTAACAGGGAATATATTCGACGCAGGTGGGTCTAAAAAAAAACAGATAAACTGCCCAATATCAAGAGTTCCTAAAATTTGCCTTTCAGTAAAAGCATCACTGCCCCAGTCCAGACCATTCCAAACTNTAGCATCAAAATTAACACACCTTGCTTTCCATTGTGGTTAGACAGATTTGAATCTCATCACGTCGGCCCTCAGCATCCCTGCCCAGACATTCTAGAAGAGCAGCGTAGGACTCCGCGTCTGGCTCCACCTCTGAATACCCTGCTTCCTCCATCATTTCTAACAGGGAATATATTCGACGCAGGTGGGTCTAAAAAAAAACAGATAAACTGCCCAATATCAAGAGTTCCTAAAATTTGCCTTTCAGTAAAAGCATCACTGCCCCAGTCCAGACCATTCCAAACTGCATCAGAGCCAATATCGCAGGACCAAACTGATGAGATAAAGTGGCCTTTTTTTAAATTCTTAATAAAACAAAGCTTTCAGTTGGCTACCAAATTCCACAGCAGTCTTCACTAGGACCAATTCTGAACTGAAGTGATTCCGTGCCACAGGTTCTTGTCCAGACTTACCTTATCCGAGGCATAAGCATGGAGGAGAAGGTTGTAAACGGACACATGAACCTTTAGCCTGTTCTTCCGGAAGTCAATTTTGCTGTTTGACCATTTCAACAAAGCTCTCTTCAGTGTGAGGAATGCAGTGTCAAGCTAAAAAAAAATCATTCATTAATTAATCAATTAATTTATAAATGAGGTTAATTGTCTGATTATAATAAATGAATTAATATGGCCGAGGGTCTTGTTAGGGTCATGTCGAAGTCCGGGTCATATAATGGGGTACTGCAAGCACTTATCTTGTATATTGTTTAAAATATAAAATATATAGGAAATAAAATATAATACAGAATTATAGTCCTTTACCTCTTAAGAGTGCTGAACAGTGAACAACTATCACATGGTTTCTTTGTATTCCAAACAACAAAAACCAAAATTATGGAGCTTCCATGTTAACAAAATGCGGCAGTCTTGC